AAGTCTGCTGTTGTTTTGTGCGTAAGGAGCCTGGTTTAATTTACTGTTGTTTGCAGCCATAGGCCTCAGTCCTGTAAAATACTGGAATTTCTCTAAAAAAAGCAAAAACAGGTGTGTAGAAAATACATGCAGACCTTCAGTGAGAAACATATTGTCACAGCAGGACAGGATAATGTTCCTTTTCTCTACTGGATAGATGACTTGAACTTTCTTTGTAAATAAAGAGTGAGCAGTTTGTGACAAAATTTTGGTGGTAATAATTTGCTGTCGTTTTTTCCATTAGTATTTGCAAATGACGTGTCCTACTTCAATTTTGCTGCACTACATCTTCATTTTCTTTGCGTGAGGTTTTCCTTGTGATCAGTTTACACATTGCTGTCAGTCCTGCTGTGGAGAAGGGCAGGCTATTTTTAGTTTCTTAGGACTACCAGGCCTTTTTCCTTCTGCTGTTTTAGTTAGCTTTAAACTTCATAACTAGCTTTATTAACTGGCATTTAGCTGTGGGACATCAGAACGCTAGTAGGTGGGTGTGTGAAACAAAGATGTCTTAAAATATATCTCTCCTCTTCAGTGTGTGCATTTGCAGACACTGAGGAATACTTCTATTTTGGGTGTATTTTATTGAAGTCACTCCATTTTTCTTTTAGTAAAGAAAAATTACTTCAGCAAACTCTTCCTGACAAGCTAGAGGTAAATACTTGATTTCTGGGAGAAGTGAGCTGGACTTGTCTTAAAACTTGAAGCTTAGGGTGTTTTTTGTTCTTGGTGCTGGGCTATTAAAGATAGCTGGAACCTCAGAACATGTTATGTTTTCCCCCTCTTACTGTATTTCTGATGCTAAATGAGTTGCTTTAGCCAAATATTACCTCTGCTCTTTACATCTGACACTTGTGAACAGGCGTTACTGTGATTGCTTTTCTGGATCTAAGGGGCCTGGGTTAATTAACTGTTCTTTGTAATCACAGGCTTCAGTCCTGAAAACTCTCTCTCAAAAAAAAAAAAGCTATGGCTCTAATGTACAGTTTATTCTTATGTGGCTGCTCATGCTCTTGGGTAAATTGAGCAGACATAACAGATTTTTTTGTTTTGTTTTGCTATTTCTCCTTCATCCCTTCTTTCTTCGTTCCCATTCCTTCATCACATCCTCCTTAATCTCAAAAATGCCTTTCCACATCTTTATGGAGACCTTGTGTTGCAAGTTTCTCAGGCATGTTCGTAAGAATGACAGTGCAGTCTCTTCATGGCAGCATCACATCACAGGTGTTCTGGCAGTAATAACTGTTAGTCATTTAGTGTCGAGCTGTCTGAGAAAGTCTTCTCTTTACAGAGGCTATTTTTTGTTTGTTTATAGGACTTAATAAAGCATTTGGCTGTTTTCAGTTACTTCATACCTATCTCTTCAGAGCTTTTTTGTGGATTTAACATATTGTTTTGAAGATCTGGACCAAAAAGCAATAGAAATTGAGGAAATGCTAAAATCTTCACAGCTGGGCTTTGGTCTTTTGCATCCTTGTCCAGAGAAAAAAATTGGATGTCTTGGATTTTGAGATAGATAAAGCAACTGCCCGAGTTTGTGATTTAGCTGCCTAAATTATGTTTTTCTCCTGCTTTAGTAAGAATTTTTCAAAATACATCCTCACTCTTTAAAATGGTTGAAGGTGCAGTATCTACTTCCAAGTTTGGTCCATTTGTACATCTTTGCAGTCATATTTTATGTAAGTTTTTCCATTTTTTTCATGGTAGGACCTCAGAAGAGAAGGGGGTTAGGACTTACCATTCCTCTAGCAGCAGCTAGTGAAACTGATCTGTGTACGAACTGATCACCTGGGAAAAACAGGATGTACTGGAGAAGATCTTTATTTTTAGAAACTGCTTGTTTCAACAATGTATAATTTTTCAGATTTTTTTATATGAGTAGTCCCTTCAAATCCCCGTGCATAAAATAGCCGTAGTCTGTGGGATTGATTTTCTGCTAATCTTTAATGCAGTCTCCAGTATCCCACATTCTGGAGAGTTTCCAGTAGGTTCCTATCTCACTGGCAATAAATCTACTAATTTTAATGAAATTAAGTTGCAGTACTGATTATCTACGTTCCCTACAGCTGTCTGTGTAATTTACAGATCACAAGACCTTGCATTGCCATTAGTCTGCTAGGCTGTAGCTCAGGAGAAAGAAAACCATGTTTTTGATGCTTAAATATTCATTGGAGAAAGGACTGGAGACCAGGTAACCTCTCTAACTGACAAAGTCCAGAGCCTTTCAGGTCAATGAATATTTAAATATCTTGTATAAAAGGGAACAGTCTCTGTAGGAACTCCTGGAAGTGGGTCACCCAAAGGCTTTAATGTACTCTTGGGTATGGCTCTGGAAGGTGGAATGTGTTAGGGTCCTGCTGGGGCCAAGTCTGCCGTGTCCTGAGTGAACAGGCGACTGGAGAAGAAAGTGCAGCAGAACTGCATCATCTCTTTTCCTTCTCTTACTCGGTGGTTTTGAGAGTAGTTTGAGTTTCCCTTCTGTTTGGTTTTGTCAAAACACTTGAAATACAGCCACTTGTTTGATACTAAATAGATTTTTGTTTTTTTAAACAGCATTTTTTTTTTCACTTCCTCGCTTCAGCATTGAACTGAGAATTTAGTTATTCTCATAGTTCTAGTATTAATCCTTCACGGGTTAATGACATGCAAAAGAATCCTTCCAGATATTATCTTCTCTGAGATGTGTTCTTTGATGAGAACTATTTTTTTCACTGATACTGAGAAATAAGCTTATCCTGTAGTTTTAACTGGGGTTAATTCATCCAGTGAAAAAAAAAATCTGTAAAATACTGAGCTATGAGCTTTTGGTAACTTTATAAGTTACTCTAGTAGGAATATCTGATCCCTACTTGAGAGGGAAGGTAATGCTATTGCAGACTGACAGCCTAAGTAGACTTTTAGAGGGTGTTTTCTTTTTAATACTGTGAGCGGATGTGAGTTTAGCGTGTGTGTAGAGGGTGGAAAGATGGGAAACTGAACTTGCCTCTCGCCAGAGTTCACTTTCAGAAATGAGTTGTGGTTATATTACAGGAAGCTTTAGTTTAATATATTTTTATATATATGCACACACACACATATATAAAATTGTGTAAAAAGTATATATACATACTTACATGCTTACGTATATGTGTATATATTGACTTTGGTTTTTGTCACTGGGGCTTGAAGGGCTGTTTTCATGAGGTTTCTGCCTGATAGTCGTTTGTAATTCTTAGAACCAGGACTCTTGAATCAAAAAATGGTTTCCTTGGTCATCACTGTGTGCATTTGAGCAAAACTCATTTCAGAAGGAGAAACAAAGAGGAAGTATCCTGTAATGTGTCTTAAATCCCAGGGTGACTCCTGCTGTTGCTTGTTTTGTTTTAGCAATATTCCCTAGGTAGGCCTCATTCTAAAATGTAAAGAAACTATGCAATAATAGTAATAAAAAGAATTATACTAACAATGGCCTGCTTTACATATCAGTCTAATGTTCTGATTATATTTTTTGAGAGCCATGGAAAGTATGCATAAACATTTTGGATTAGACTGAAAGCATATGCCCATGTAATGATGTTTAAAAATATAACAAACCCTTGCCCCCAAAACACAGTCCTTGTCTTTTTAGCCTTGGGAAAAATGCCTTTTTTAACTATTATTTGAAGTCTGTTGAAGCCATAGCTTTGAAGAGATGTTGAAAATATAATATTTAAATTCCAAGGTTATTGCTAATTCAGTCTTGATTTAATTCCTTTATCTAACTAAACTGACTCTTAATGAGTGTTTTTATACCAAATACTCCATAAAGGGGAACTTACTGTTTAAGCTGAGGAAGCAACCCTCAGCTTTAGTGATGGCATAATATTGTTTGCAAATATTGAGAGTGGGTTGTACACAAAGACCCTAAATTCACTTTGGTACCTAGATTGTGATTGGTCTCATTTAAGAATGTTGTGGCTTTAGGTTTTTTTGGTAAAAATGGATATGAATAATTCTAATTTCCCTCAAATCATGCTATTATTGTACTTGTATTCTAATCTACTGACAATATTAGAGAAAGACTTCAGTCTCTGCAACCATTCAATTCATTTTGTTGGTGGTGGTTTTTTTTTTTTTTTTCTTTGGAAACTGCTTCTGAATTATTCCTCCCTCAGGAATTAGAGCTGTTTTTCATAGTCTGGGTTGTTAATTATTTCAGGTCTTTAGCAGCTAGAACTAGCTTGCAGCCAGTAACACTGTGCAGAGATGTTAGGTTTTGCGTAAAAATTCCTTTTCTTTTTTTTTTTTTCCCTTTAACAAGTAAAGGATCAAGACAAAAAAGAAACTTGTTAAAATAGATATTGTATGTGTACTGAAAGAGACGGACAGTGCTTCATACCATCTGCTGCCCATCTCTAAAGCATTTTATCAATGCATGCTTAGTTTGATGTAGTAAGTGTATATTACCACGCACAAATGCTGTACCTGTGACAGTGAGTGGCTTGTGCAAGGCATGAAAGGGAATTGTATGGGGGTTGTTCTGAACTGTGGTTTGTACTTAAGACACACTGTTTCTTTTTTTTTTTTTCTGTTTGACAATATTAAACAAATATGCAAAGTCTAATGACATCGTCGGTCAGAGTACGTTTCTGAAAGGTAAGATCTGCTCAGCCCTATTTTTACCGAAGGGTGGAATGTGGCCTGCCCATCTTTTGTCATAGCTGGTCAACAAGATGGAGAAGCAAGAGCTGAGTTTTCAGATTTCATAGTTCAGAAAAAACACTACCAAAATTTGTAAGCTGAAGGTGTCTAAAAAATAACCTAAAATATTTACCAGTTCTGAGTTTTCTTCTCAGCAGGATGACACTTGAAAGCATAACCCAGAAAATGTAGATGTGCTGTGCGATTGGTCTACGCTTTAAGAAGGGTAGTGAGTTGAAAGTATTTTTTTTCCTTTTTTTAATATCTAAGTGCATCTAATGACCTTGTGATCATTCTTTTTCTAGGTATACGAAACTTGGCTATGCAGGAAATACAGAACCTCAGTTCATTATCCCATCATGTGAGTAATTTTTTGTCCCTCCAAACTCTAATGTACACCACTATCACTGAGCACTTTCATGAGTAAATGACGTGCTTTCCAACTCCCAGCTCAGCCTTCATAGTCTCTTGTCCATCTGGGAAGTGATACTCATTGCATTAGCATCTTTGGCTAGAGTGTAGCTAAACAGAACTCCTTGTTTGCAGTTAGCTCGGACTGTTGCTCATTAAATCAGCTCTTGGTTGCCATGACAAAGATGAAGAGAACTCCAGTCCAATTTCCTTTTTATCTCCATTATTTTTCTGCCAGGATTCTTGAGTAGACAGAATGCAATTTACCTCCTGTCTACCTGACACCATGGTTACTGCCCGGATAATCTGGAGAAGGCTTCCAATCAAATTAAGTACTAAAGTGCAGGTGGTGTCTGCCTTATTTACATTGTCTGGGACTGTAGACAGTTTAATATTCAAAAAAGTTGTTCTTATTAGGAAGTGTTCTTTTTGGGCATGTGTTTACCAATTAAAATGTTTTTGCCTGTTTAACATGCTTTTATGGAGCAGATTTACTCTTAATTTTTTTTGTATTAAACTTGTTTAAAATGTTATACCTTTCTGGTGTTCTGGATTTTAATTGTTGTCTTAATGGTTTCTCTCAAATGCCATATATATAGTAGCACTGAGTATGTGTTTACATCTATAATGGCATCTATTATCTCATGGTTATCTCCAGTTATGTTAAACAGTGCCTTTTTGTGAAGTTCATCAATTAGCTACTTATTAATGCGTCTAGACTGTCTTGTAGCTACTAATGGTAGAAGACGTAAAGATAAGGAAATAACAAAGGTAATTGGGGGACAAAGAGGTGGAGAGATACGTGCTCTTTAGCAGATACAGCTGCAGTAGTGGTTATACTTTTACGATTTTAAGCGTTGTAAAAAATTAAAACCTAAGCTACTGGTAAAGAAATGTCTTGTTTTAAAGAAGTGTGATAACAGGAGTTTCTTGTGGAGTTGTTTTAAGACCTATTCTATAAAACTATAAACTTGTTGGGCTTAGCTGTGTTTCCAAAAGAATTGTTTGCCTGTCAGTAATTTCTGGTGCTGATAGTATTTGGTGTGTTTATGGATGGATGTCTGTCTACTCTGCATTTTCTACCGTATGTTATTTAGATGCTGATTATGACCTATTAAAAGAAAACTGTATATAAATAAGGTTATGTTTCAAGAGTACTTTACTCAGGTTTTATTTATAGCTTGCCCCAGATTTGTTTTTTTTGCTGCCTCATCTTCTTGCCTATAGCAGCCATCATCTAGTCATTTCAGTGATAGTTGCAGCCTGCTAATGGGAAGTTAAGTGTCTCCAAAGATTTCTCTGTAGCACTGCAAATTGATTTATCCCCTCCTTCCTTCTCACCAACCAGGATAATGACTCCAATACTTATTTTGGAAGTACATAGTTTGTTTTCTTTTCCTGTTCTCTTTCTTTTAATTCTCGGACTTGAAACTCAGAAAATCGTGTTGCTTACTGGCTTTAGGAGTATCTCTGGTGGAATGCTGTCTTTGCGCAGGTTTAGTGGCTGCTGTAGTCTGCAACAGAAGAAGTTTTAAAGATTTTCTCAGAGTTACTATTTACATTAATGAGGGATGGGTGAGTGGAATCCCGTGTGATGCGGTGAGAATGAAGTCTGCTATATTGGCTTGTCAATAGATTGCTCACTTAATTTCTGCTTTCTGGAAACTATGCTTTCTATGTACTAATTTTTATTTCTGGAGAAGAATCTTTATGTAAATAAATATTCATTACTTGATATTAAATGTTTTAATTTTGTTTTGATTTGTTTGGGTTTTGTTTTAAGGTATTGCAATCCGAGAATCAGCCAAAGTAGGTGACCAGGCTCAGAGGAGGGTGATGAAAGGCGTGGATGATCTGGATTTTTTCATAGGAGATGAAGCCATAGATAAACCTACCTATGCTACAAAGGTAAGCATTGAGTATTTTTAAGAAGTCTCTCCAAAATTTCACATTTTTATTATATAATGTTCTAGGACTTTTTGATAGCTGTTTAAAACATGTTTGTTTTTTTGTGAAGTATTTTTGTTGTTTTTTAAAAACTGCATAATTTCGTTCATGGATTTACCTTTTTTTAAATGTCTGTTTTACCTGGGCTGTCCTGTGTGATTGGTGCTTGAACCCTTGTGTAAATATCCATTGGTACAGTGCAACTGTTCAGTTTTCAAAGTTATGAGCTATTAAAATAGTCATATACACTGAATATTGAAATTCATGCTAAAAGTGTGTCCTCTTAACATGGCATCTGAACTGGGGAATGCGGTGGATACTTCTGCTTCAGGGAATGTCACAACTGTTTTGTTCAGGGCTGTCTTCAATGCAGCTTTTCTGTGAATCATACTTTCTATACCCCAGTAAAGGACTTCTTGTACTTACAGAATGTTACTGGCTTATGAATTATGTGGAAAAAATCATATTTTATACATCCTGCTGTATTAGTTAAATGTCAGTTGTGTTCTTAACATTGAACAAAATGTAAACATCATCCCTGCCAGAATTTTCATTGAAAAATGTATAGCCTATATGGTCTTTATTCCTTTCTGTAGATTGGAAGGCATATTGAAGTCAAGTATGATTTTCAACCTAATAAATGATAAAATTGATACAAAAAGAGATTAAAGCACAGTGCCACAATAGAGCAACAGCAGTAGTAGGAGTAGAGTCTGGATTCTGGCTTCTAGTTCTGCAAGACGGAATCGCAATTTGAAGTACCTGGGAGTAGGAGATAGCTTCAAATAGTGCCTCTAAATTAGAGTGGAGGATTTGATAAGGTAACCGTGAGATGATGTGTTTTCATTTTTTCAGATGATGTGAGGGTTTGGGGGCTTAGACGGTTCCAGTGGTTGGGCTTGTTTATCCTTGTATGGTCTGGGGTGTTGACATGTTTTCTTGCTTTAGTGGCCTATACGACATGGTATTGTTGAAGACTGGGACCTCATGGAGAGGTTCATGGAGCAGGTCATTTTTAAATACCTACGAGCTGAACCCGAGGATCACTATTTTTTAATGGTGAGTTAGTGAGACAGGGTAAGAAAATATTTTTGTAGGAGGAAAACTAAATAATGTTTCAAGCACAAGTAGCTCTGTTGGAGGATTTTTCTCTGTATCTCTCTTATTTCTTCAGCAACTGATGCGGGGGGTAGGGGAAGAGGAAAGCTGCATTGTAACAAAATTCTGTTCATTTTGTGATGCAGGCTACTTCAGGTTGGATTTTGTTTTTGAAATGCTTCAATCAGTTTAAATTCTGTTTGAAATTTTCTATTTTGAGTGCACTGTGAATTTTAGAAGTTTGATTACCATACTGAGCTAATCAATACGTGAACCATTAGGACTCTATTGAGGTGCTTTTTCAAAACTCTTTTTTTGCAGACAGAGCCTCCGCTGAACACACCAGAAAATAGAGAGTATCTTGCAGAAATCATGTTTGAATCATTTAACATACCAGGACTTTACATTGCTGTTCAGGTGAATAAAGTGAATAAATACTTCTAAAGTACAGTATAGCTGCCGTATGTATAGTCTTCTCTATGCACGTGTCTAAAATGTCAGAAAATACCATTTCAAACACCGTAAATTAGCACACTCTGCCTGCCTCTAAATATAAACTTTTTCTCATGTAGGCAGTGTTGGCCTTAGCTGCCTCTTGGACGTCACGGCAGGTTGGAGAACGGACTTTGACTGGAATTGTCATCGATAGTGGTGATGGAGTGACCCATGTCATTCCTGTGGTATGTAGCAGGATGCAGCTTGAAATTATCAGTGGTTTGGACAAGTATGGGGTTTGTTTCCTATAGGTTTAAATAAGAAGTGTCAAACTAAACTTTATTTTTAAATTTTTTTGTGTTGCTTGATTGCTTGAGATTTTTTTCCTCCCTTATGATTGTTTTGAAAAGTATTTTTTTTGTTACGTGAACTTATTTATGCAAGTAATTTAGCTTGTGTACTACAGGAAGGTCACAGTAAGGAATCGTCAGGCCATCTTTTAAAGGCTGTTTCTGTGTTAAACTTTGTCTTCTGTCACCGTGATGCCTCAGTTCTGTTTCATGTGGTTTTGGATCTCCTGCATGAGACCGGTGTCTGACAAGATATCTCCTGACTTTTGATGTTCTGCATTTTGATTGTTTAGTATAGCTGACAACGTATGCTTTTTATATGATTTTATTGTATTTTAGCAGTTAGTGAACTCTGCTTGCGTGGAAACAACTACAAGCTTGTATAAATGCATGTTCATATACATGGTTGATCTCAAACGGCTGAAGTTAGGGTGTGCACGCTGACATCTGTTCTATTGATGTCATTGCGTGTATTTCTGAAGCATACAGTATGCTTGAATGATCAGTTATTTTATAAATGAAAATTTGATGAATTCGATTCCCTGTAACTTCATCTTGCATTTTGGTATTAACCTAGTCTTCTTAGTATTTGCTTCATATGGGAAATGCTGGGAAAAAAATGAGCATTTACTATGTGGATCTCTGAAAAATATAAAAAAAAAAAAAAAAGGCAAGAGAAGAAACAATGTTGTCTCAGCAATACCACTGTTTTCAGTAAATGCATCCTGACAAAAATTCAGCAAATATTTATTGTTTTTTATTGTGCTTATTGTTAGATACTGCTTAATTTGTTTTTTCTTGTCTGAGTATTTGAAAAAATTTTATACTTTTTCCTCTTAATTTTTCACTGTCAAACAGGTCATGAGTGGTCTGTTTATATTACTCTTGCTTTTCAGATTATGCCTAAAAGGAACCATCTGACCAGACTTTGTCTTCTAATGTGTGCAAGATTTTTTTTGTGTATCAGTTGTGTATCTATTAGATAATCAGTATCTGTTTGTATATGGTAATCAACGTCTTTTAAATAAAAATAATATCCACTTTGGAGTAGGTTGCACATCTTTATAGTATTTTAACAGTTTCAAAATTTTACTTGTATTTAAAAATCAAAACAAAATATTGTAAAAATGAATGTTAGTTTTGCTGTTAATTATTGATACACAGTAGGTTTTTCCCTAAATATTTCTCGTCCTCTCCTCCTACATAGGCAGAAGGCTATGTAATTGGAAGTTGCATCAAACATATTCCTATTGCAGGTAGAGATATTACTTACTTTATTCAACAACTCCTAAGGGAAAGGGAGGTGGGAATTCCTCCTGAACAGTCTCTGGAGACAGCAAAAGCCATAAAGGTACACCCTTCTTTATCACTTAATAGATAAATAAAACTCTTTGAGCTAGTTTCTTGGCTTTAACAAGTTGCCAGTGGCGCTCTTAAAAATGCAAATGTAGGCAGTGTGCTGTAATTACACAAGCTTCTGGTGGTTTATCCGATCAAGTGCGGGGGAAGGAGAAAGAGGAAGAGAATCTTCGTGCTAGACTGTTTGGAGCGAATATGTTCCGCAGATTAAATCAGTGTGTTAAGCTTGAGATTTGTTTAAAATTTGCTTTTTTAATTTAATAACAAAATAAATGTATGCAATGTCAGGAGGGTGATTGCGTGGGTCTGATCTTGCGACGAGAGCTCGCTGTTGAACTTCTGTGCTGTCACAGACAGAAAGGTGGTGAGGTTTTGGTTCCGAGAGAGACTGACCCGGCGGAGCCAGGGCCCCTGTCCCCTGGGCTGGAGGCCTCGGCGGCCCTGTGGGTGGGAGCCTCTTGCACAGCCCCGCCTGTGGGAACGCTCATGTGTCTTTGTTTTCTGACTCTGTTATACTTAAGTTCAATGACGGAATAAGTATTTTGGTGGGTTTTTAACTCGTGGGATTTCTTGACAGGAGAAATACTGTTACATTTGCCCTGACATAGTGAAAGAGTTTGCCAAGTACGATGGAGACCCTCGGAAATGGATCAAGCAGTACACTGGCATCAACGCCATCAACAAAACCAAGTTTGTTATGGCCCGGCGCCGCTCCCCGGGCCCGGGCACGGCAAAACCCGAGCACAGCGGGCCATTGTTTTTCTCATGTTCACTGTTACGTATAAAACATTCTGTTTCTTTAACGGCAATCAAAAATTTAGAAGAAGTTGTTTGAATGTACAGATTTTTATATAATATTTTCCTTCCCTTTTTCAGCATTGGTTTAAACCAATATGCCTTGATACTGTGTATTTGATTAGATTGCCAGTCACTTTGGGTGCTGCTCAGCTTGGTAGCGTTCTACTGATAGTATTTAAAATCTTGGACACTGAGTTTTGATACCGAATCAATTTGTAAAGCACAGATGCTAAGTTTGTCCTTGAGGGAAGTCCGTTGAGATCTTTGTTGGTGTGGCCGTAAGCGGCATGTACAGTTCTGGGAAACATTACAGTGCCTGGTCTGTCTGGGTTTTCGTAGCTTGCTGTGACTGAGTTTCGGGATATTGTGATACTATGGGAGAGGAATGAGTCAAGTTTTAACATGTTACAGCATTGCAGAGAGGGTCCTCTCCATTCCTGTGCACTCCGTTGAGTTTATTGCAGGCACCCATAACCTGTGATACTATTAAAAAATTTAATCAAGGACCATAGTAACACTGGTGCAGTTTCCCTCTGTCTACTCTCTTCCTATCAGAAGAATATGAAAAAAAAATTCTAGTCTTAATATCTTTGTGGTCAGTTTGTAGCCATCTGATCTTGTGATCTTGTGCCGACGTTAAACCTGTGGGCTAAATAGTTTATCCTCCCTGCTGTTTACCAATGTGATCTTACAGAGAGGCATTGAATCCCACGTCAGACATCATTTTAATGGCTCCTCTTTCTGTAGTCCCTTTAAAGCCTGTAAGGAGCAGGATAAAGGACTAATTTCCATTTTCTTCATTTCTTGGTAGTTTCTTGGCTCTATATTGAAAAAATACTGAACTGACTTTCTAGACAAGAAAAACACACTAGATGATACGTACTGCATCCAAAGAGAAGTTCTCGCTGGATTTCATTAACTCCACACTTCAAAGGGTATCAAATTAGCTAGGTAAAAGCTGCCTTTGGTAAAGCTCTCTTGTAATCTTTTCCTGTTTTCACTTTATAAAATTTGTTCTGAAGTCTTTAATACTCTTGAAGTTAGGCTTTGGGATTTGTAGTTATCCAGATTATTTCTCCACTTCTTAAATTAGATATTTTACTTGCTATTTTCCAACCATATGGTATTTGGTAGCAGACCACAATTTCACATGTCAGTTCTCTTGTCCCTGTTCTGGAAGCATGTTATACTCTGCTTTGGATGTCATAACTCTCATTTCTACTTACTCCTTTTGCCCTGCTGTTTTATCAACCTCTTATGGAGAGCTTGGGAGAAGTTTTCAGGCTGTAGTTCATTCAGATGAGAACTCTCTGTATGAAGCAACACTGCTTCTTTCTTCTCTTTTAATTTATGTGGCTTCATGTGTTAGCTTCTTGCATGATTAATTCTTACCATGGAAATTAGCTTGAATCCTTGGTGATTTTTTCACATCATTCTTATGGCTCCTGATCTCCAAGCCAACTTCCTTTGCTAATTTCTCTTTCACTTCAGTGCATACTTGTTGTGTTTTGGCTCTTGTTATTCATCCAGTTAGACACTTATCTTGTTTAGGATGTAAATCCCAAATAGTTTCCACACTTTTGGGATAGTTTTAAAGTTATATAATAATATGCATAATAATATATTATTATAGATATCAGTAATTCATTTAATTTCTCAAAGTTTAATCTCTGAAAGTGCAAAATCTAAGGTTGGAACTGTTCTTTTTTTTTTTTTAAAGTTCATCTTAAGTTTTAAGTGGAAAATTGCCACTAGTCCAAGAAGGTTTTCTAGCATTAGCAACTCTGACTCCCTAGTATTTATAAATGCAGAAATTTACATTAGCACTGTATTGATGTTTGCGTTGATGGAGACTTGCACTAAAGACCTTGCAGTATTTGTGCCTTTTTGAATATTAGAGATTTTGTGTGCTTGGAAAAAAAATCTGACTTTTTGGTAGGAATTTAACATAAGCATTTCAGTAGGAATAAAAATTTTTTACAGGGGAACATTCTATTTTTCACTGGTATTTTGATTTCACTTAAAAGGAAAAGCAGGACCACACTGCACAGCAACAGTATGTTTAGTATTGCAGGAGAACTCAAACTCATGTCACATGCAATAGTAGGTCCATAGTGCATAAATTGTAAACAGTGAATTTATGACCAAAGAAGAGAATCTGGATTTCTCAGCAGAAAAATGAATTTTCATTTCCTTTGTACAGAAGTGGGTTTGTTATAATGTAGAATAATTAGTGAGCAGGAGTAATACTGACTTTGGTTCCCATCCATCCTCTTTAAGAGTGCTATTACAAAATCTCTCTGCAGCCTCATTTCTGCCTTTTTTTTTCTCCATTCTTGGAATGAAAAATCTAATGCCTGTTCTATTTCATTTTAGTTTGCTAATCCTGATTTTATGGAATCCATTTCGGATGTAGTTGATGAAGTTATACAGAACTGTCCCATTGATGTCCGGCGTCCATTATATAAGGTATGGTCTTTTTATTGTAAGAGGAACTTAATTTACTTGAAGACTAAATACAGCAGCATCATCATAAAGCATATACGTAGCTACTACTTTCCCCACTATGAGAAATGTGAACTTTGAATAGGAGTGAAGTTAAACAAAGTGCCACATCTGAGTGAAGACTACCTGACATTTCTGCTTTTTATTTTTTGAAAGAAGGTTTATCTGTAACAGCGGCTTGATACATAAGTAAGTATTGTCCCTGAGGAACTGAGACAGAGGGGTGTTATTTGTATCTGGCATTTGTAGTGTGGATTCTTGTGCACAAAGGTCTTTGGCTTTTGCCTGTTTTAAGGGCTATGTCATGGTCTTGCCCTTCTCACTCTCCTCCGCCCCCTGCTTTATTAAGCAGTGGTTTCAAATACATATATTTTTTTTTCATAGTCTTCACTTGTGTCTGCCTGTTGTCTGCATTTTTAGCCAGATACTGAACCCGATATTAAAGTGCATGAATCACAGAATCACAGAATAGTAGGGGTTGGAAGGGACCTCTGTGGGTCATCTAGTCCAACCCCCCAAAGAAGACTTGAAATCTTTTAGGAGACAATAACTAGGCCTGGTTAAACTTGCCCAGGGTGTAGTCCAGAGAGTACTTGCAGTCACTGTTTGTTTAAGAAATGAAAAGGAAGGTATTGACAGGCATAGCCTATGGCAAGCTCTCTCTGTATTGGCAGCACATCTTATGCTTCCTAGTAGTTTTCTGCTTGTGCAGCAGCAGTGCTCTATTGGAAATAACAGCGTAAAGTAATAGCATGGAGAGGTTTGCGTGCTCGTGTAAAAGGTGTTAGTTTCCTCGCTTATTAGAATGAATGTTAAGTTCCAACTAGGTTGTATCTCGGGGTAGTTCATAACTACTAAAACTTTTTCAGTCTGCTTTACTTGTCTAGTAAACGTACTCTGTAACCTATCATGAGACATAGTGCTTCAGAGCAAATTTGGGGAGCAGGATAAAATGGGAAGTTAAACTACTTAACAGGCTCATTATGTGAAGTGAATTTTGCAGTAGATGTCTTCAATGGCTTCAAGCTTAGGTGTGTTGCAGAAGGTTTGAGGAGACCCTTAATATCTGATTGTGCTTAGGGGCTGTGCCTTTTTCCTGAAAGATCAAAGCTGCTGTAGAGCAATAGCTTCATTGCTTGGTAGGGTTGAGATTAGTACTGACTTCTGGAAAGTGATATTTAAAAATTGAGGTTGTTACTCTTTCCTCACCATAATCAGCAGGCAAATAACTTTCCGTTGCCACTGATTGAAACTTTGATTTTCCATTTTCTGTTTTTCATTATACTTGCTTAATTAAAACAATGTTACACAATTACCTATTGAATGTAGTGGTAGATATCAGTAGTTATTAATGCCAATAGTTACTATGTTCTTTAAGCAAGGTCACTGCAAGGGGATGAACATCTCTGTTCTCATTGTTTGAAATGGTGTATAGGTGCAGAAATCCACTCATACTTTCTGCTAGTCTGGTTTATCAATTTCATTTGTCCACAGTGCTGCGTGGTGGCCAGCCAAGGCCCTGTGCTTTGGAGCCAGGTTTCCATCAAATGTATTTGGTTTCTTCCCCAGTGTTCATGCAGAAAGTATCTGCAGGTACCCTTCTTGCAGGTTACATGTGGTGTGTAGCCTTTGAAGCATTGTTTCACCATAGGATGTCAAAAGATGGGTTGTATTTCTCTTTTTTTTAGATTTATTGCCAGTATCCCTGTTTCCCAGTCAGATCAGCGTCTCTCTTATGAGGTGGTGATCTTACCTTATGTTGAAGTTTGGACGAGCAGGACCTTCATAAGACTGACTTCTTCAGACAGATTCCATAGTCTGTAACTTTTCAATACCAAGCACAAACGTTCTTTCACATGTGATGAAGTCTTTTTAATAGTATAATGGTTGCCAGCAGTCCACTTTTTTAATTCTCATGATTACACCATCTTAATGTGATTGCTTGGAAGAATTGATTTATATTCTTATTCCGTGTCTGTCTGTATCACTAACACAGAGTTGAGAGTTCTGGATTGCTTGGGGTGGGCTGCTTTCTGCTAAAATGGAACAAGGTAGGTAGACTGCTGGGTTGGGAACCAGGGGACTTGCACTGAAATTTGAAGAAATAAGGTGGATTTCTTTTTTTTTTTTTTTTTTTAACAAACCCAAATCTTTAGAAGGTGGAATGAAATTTAAAGTGAGTGCTCAGGTGAAATGACAGGGGAGTAATTTTGGATCTTACCACGTGCCTGAAATAATCTGGCATCCTTGCTATGTTGATCATTCCTGTGTGGTGAATTCCACTGAAAAATGACCAATCCTGCAAGCAGCTAGAAATACGATCGTGCGGCGCAGTGAGGCATTGCATCACCCTTGGAGTTCTTTGGGAAGGACGGTGTATAGTTCGTCTAGTTCTATTTATTTTTTTTGAGAATTCTTCAGCTTCTTTTTTTCTTAAATTGTTCCACAATCTTGCCTTATACTTATCTCATATATATACATATATATATATGTAGATAGTATAACTGATACCTCAGAAAGGCAGAGAAATTAGAGGGAGAGAGTAGTAGCGTGATGGGGAGTATGGTCTGCAGAAAAACGCGGTCCTTCCCCTCAGCTTTCAGGTTGCTATGAATGTACTGCTAAACGCGGTGTAACTAGCGCACACTCAGCTTGCATCAGTGGTATAGCCAGAACAGATGCTAGTGTTGGATGTTTTCGATACTAATTGCTATTTAAAAATCTGTTTGCAGCCTGAAAATGCTCTGAAACTTGTTTTAACATTTGTCAGGGGATGAGTTTTGCCACTTAATGTTAAAAAAGAGCAGCTGAATTTAACAATTGCCTAGTGGATATAGTTCTAATGACTTTAAAGGTGGACAAAGGGCTTTCAGAAGTTTTAAAAACTGCTTGATATTCTAATAAACAGTATTTTTTGTTAGTAACAGGTTCAGAAACTGTCACTCTTACTTCACACTCTACTTCATCTTCCTTTTTCCCTATCCACAGTCTCTCCCCAGATATTTCCAGAGTTGAGATGGTAACAGGAGATGAGAACATTATTGACAGTTCTGAGGTCTGTGCCTTCTCCCAGCAGAAAGGGTATAAGCGTAGGGTCGTTGGCTGTCCCCACAACTGATTTCTTTCAACTTTCTCTGCTGTGTTTTTGGCACAAATATATGGATGAAAGAATTCAAGAGAAGTGACACCTGAACCTAGGTAAATTCTGTCAGAAATAGCTCTGAAAGATCCTAGCCAAGCACGTTTAAATGTTTGTGATTCAAATCACGATGGATCAAGTTGTAAGATCCTTGACCTCAGACTTGTAAGTTAGCTTCTCAAGCTGAAAACTTTGCGTGAGGTGGGGACTGGAGTGTATTGGCAAATGTGGTGTTCTATTGTTGATAAATCATCCACGTTTTCAGGGGAAATGCAGGTGCATGGAGACAGGATTTTAATGATACTGGCTTTTTTTATTAGAGACTATGACTTTTTAGCTGGGCATGCGGCTGTTGTGGACAATAATGAACTTGAGCTTGCTGATGCAGTTAAGATTTGGACTGCACTTGTATCGGCGTTCTCTCTGAAGGTTAAACTGTTTGCTGCCCAGGTCATAATGAACCATCCTCAAAGCCTGGTGAGATCTGGGGTGTGAGAGGCTAAAGGGGCAGTGGACATCTCCCTCATGTCACTTCTAACTTGCACTGTGGGTGAATATTTTGTGTGAGAACAGCCACACGTGTGCTGCGTGGTGTGTAGATGGCGCTGTCAGACTGTGGCACGGCGGCCGGCTGTGTCAGGGTTCAGCGGCCGGCTGCGACAGTGCCCAGTTTATTTGCGATATCAACCCTATTCTTCCCTTTCCTCTCCGAAATTGTAGGTATCCTCAGATGACTGGATGGGGTTCAACTGACTTTTGCTTATCTGTGCTTCAGCAGAATGGCAATGTTTGCTATTGATCATTAAGTACAGAGTGCGAAGGCTCTGTGGAGACACGGCCAGGCCAATAGAGCTGCATCATATTGGCACTGGTGATAAGACATGGGAAAGGAGAGGTATTCCTGCTACCTCATGTGGAAGCCCCAAGTGATTAACACTGTTAGCGTAGCACAGGACTAATGAGGAGAAGCCCAGTTTATTCCTGTCACAGCTGTAATTTAATTTATAACATTACCTGTGCTAGCTGGTTTAATGGTAGCTCAATACATCGGCAGTATTTTGTGGTTACTTTTGTGTCTGCGTGCAGGCATCTTTCTGCGGAACAGCGTGACCATAAGTCATGCTGAAATCTTTTGCTATTACTCGAACTGTTAAATTAACATGGAAAATAATAATTTAAAGAAACACAAACTGTTTCTTCACCATTAGAAGTCAAACTTAATTAAAAAGTAGTGTTTCTCACAATACATTTACTTCTTTGTAATATATTTGTTGTTTGACATGTATGGAAAGTATAAGTATTATACAGTGTTGGCAGATACTGCCCTGTAACTGAATTAAGAGGCATGTAGCTTAATTGATTCACTTGTCATGAAGTGCTTGGCTTAATAATTTTTATTAACAGTCATATATTGCTCTCAATACATGTCTCTGGCAGCATGGTGTCAAGTTAAACAACTTTAATTTAGGCTGTCATTTGGAAGGAGGGGAAACGTGGATGCAGTGTTGCAGTTCATATTTACCAGAACAGTGGGTGATTCTCAGCTTGGTGCTCCAAAATCTGAAGTGTCCAGCTGAGAGAGTGCTTACACTGTGTTGCAGGGTGCAGTAGGAAGATGCTCAAACCAGTTCAGCACCTGGTGTTTGGTAGCATTGAGTTCTGCAGAAAGTAATTTATTCTTTTGGAATTTTTAATGTAAACTTCATTTAAATAGAAATTTTCAGTTACAGTAACTGGGTTGTTGTGTTAGGTAGCTTCATATCTCTGCAGCACTGCACTGTATAGGCATAATATCAGAAATGGTATGGAGAGAAACTCAATGTCTGAGAGTTCATAAGAGAAATAAAGGGTGTGGATGAGAAGTGAGAAATCTCTTGCCTGCCCTCTGAGACGGATGGTGTTCACCCCCCCGTTTCCTTCCAGACATGGCCTGCTTTCATTATTTACTTGTGTGGTTCGCTTTTGCAGGTGTGTGGCAGGTCTTCAACCCTCTCTTCTGAAGGAGTACATTCTTTTGAAACAACTTACATTTTCAACCAGCTAGCTATAAAAGTAAAAATCATCTGGAGCTTTTTTCTGTCAGATGGTATGGTAATCAGTGTTAGCTGTGAAACCTGTGGTCTGCTTAGAGCTGTTAAACCTGCTGAAGTGTGTTTGAGCAGAGTAAGATCAGAAGAACTCTTGTATAGGGGAATCGACTGGAAACAGATACTTAAATCTGAACTCTCTTGATGTCTTTTTTCTGGGAGATCAGAGAATTACCAGACAGGCTGAAACCCAAACGTAACTAGTAAGCTTTCTCCACAGATGTGTTTAGCATGCTTCATTGTTATGTTTTTTCGTTAAGTAGTTACTGGAATTACTGTGGGGTGTTACACTCAGTTATTCTGGAGAAGGTATTTGCTCGGGAGGGGGAGTTTCTTGGTTGTGTTTTGGTTTTTTGGGGGGTTGGTGGTTTGTGTGTTTTATTTTTTTTATTCTTTTTTTTTTTTTAATCTGACAGGCTTTTCCCACCTTCTTTGGGTCCTTTGTAAATGTCGTGTGTGTTGTTTGAGGGGTGGGGAATGTGTATGGATTCTGCTTTCGATGTGAGTGAGGACTACCTGGCTTCTGGCCTCCTTGCAGAAGACCAACCTGCTGAGTTGTGATAGCTTGCTGAAGCCTGTACATGAACAGTCTTCTGTGAAAGAGTTAGTACAGATTTGGCCCAGTGCTGACAAGAAGTGCAGGGAGCAGGGGAACTATAACTGTATAAGTAACCATCTTATAATGGCAGCTGGTGTCACCTATTTACTTGTATCTGAACTGCTGCTTTGCCTGGCTTGTCCAGGTATGTGATAATGCGATGACACACCTTTTCAGCAGGTGTACCTTAGTGCTTCTGTTATGCTTGACCAGTATTGTTGTTAAACTTCTTTCAGTGTGTAGAAGTACTTGAATAATCATAATCTGAGGAAGATGTAACCTCTTAGCTTCCAACCCTGGAATGATAAAAGATCCTTCCAGTGTTACTGCTAAATCTGTCGTTGCGTGAGTTGGTCTCGGATGCATTCAAACAATTATTCTCAGGTGAAATCTATTTTTAGCAATAGGATTGTCCACTTTATGGAGTGTACTTGAAGTTTAATTTCCTTTGAATAGAATTATTGCTTTTGCAGTCTTCGCCAGCTTCATTATCTCCAGGTAGTATTTTCTGATGGCATCTTTTTAATTGCTATTCCATCACTCAGGTTGGTTGTTGTCTTTTTTTTTTTTTCCCCCATTAGCAGTTGCCTTTTCCCATGTGGCATGCGTGACCACTTTGAGACAAGGGAAGAGATGTACTTATGTATGGGGGAAGCAGGGGGAATCTCCCTCCTGCTTTAATTTTAGGACCAACTGTGGTTTCTGGCTCCTGCTTATACATATGGTTTCTTTACTCTTCTCTGTCCTCCTCTTTCTTTTGGGAAATGTTTCAGTAATGTTTTGGGGATGTGTGCTTTTGTAAGTACATCTGCCGTGTTATATACTCTTTTATACTGTAAATAATCTGGAGCTGTGAAGAAATGAGTTTTTCCTGCTGTAATGGTTTTTACAATGTGCAGAGATTTTTTTTCATGAAGAAGGAAACAGCTTTCTTCTCGCTTTGCAAGTTATAAACAAGATTTTCCATATTATCTTTTGCTTAAAATCCAAGCAGTTACTTCTGCACCCTGCAAGTGTGAACGCTTGTCCTTTGACTCTTCAGATCTGAGTGCAGACTTCCTGACTGAAAACAGAGGTTCAGGGATTCTTTCATTATGTGCACAGTCTTGGTCTGCAGTGTCAAAAACTATTACTGAGAGAGAATCCTGTGACCTGTGCATAATGAACTCTCAATCTCAGCTGAGTTCCTGGTGAACATGTGTCTAAGGCATATGAGTGGTTTTAGTATGCACTGGTTGGCACTTTGGTTGGCGGTGGCAGCAGTACACAGGGGCACACATGCAGTTTTGTCACATGGAGTTTGTTTTTCTGATTGTGAAATGCATTTTTGCTGGCATCACTGTTAATGTTCTAGGGTTCCTGTTTTGGATCCCCCTGCCTTTGAAATGACTTCTCTGTTAGTCTATGACCCCACAACATTATCAGAATTAAGGATTTGACACTCTCAAGCCTCTATTGAAAATCCAAGTAGAAGTCCAGGCTAAGAGGCTATTGGTTCTGCTCTGAAAACTAAGTAATACCAGGCAAGCAGATACAGAAAAGTGAAAGGCATTGTACCTTTCTCTGTACCGCAGTCCTCTTTGGAGCTGTGGTACCTTTCTGAAGACTCATTGGACTTGCTTGTTGCTATGTTTAGGAGTTTAACTCTTAAAAGAAAAAAAAAAATACTGAGTTCTAGATACAGCTTCTGGAAAGACACTAACAGTAATGTAACGAGGCTAGAGCCTTATTTGGCATCAGGGCTAAAACTGCTCTACTGTGAGCATCCCTGGGAAACTTTTTGATGTAGGCTCTGATTTCTGCTGCTCTGCAAGTGTAGGGTACTAGCTCACGATTTTAATGGCATCCTTCTCTTTTGCAATAATATATTGTACATAAAACTCTTCTTTAAAGGGGATAAAGAAAGTAGGAGACTGTGGACCTCCTGTGGAAATAGAGCAATGCTTAAGGTGTTCTGTGTAGCTTGTCAGCTTCCTAATGATGTTAAGATTCAAGTAGTCACTTCTGCAGTGTGTTGGCTTTTGGGAAACTTGCTTGAAGATGAATTTAAAGAATGTGTCTTTATTTTCTGCACAGAATGTGGTCCTCTCGGGAGGATCCACGATGTTCAGGGACTTTGGACGACGACTGCAAAGGGATTTGAAAAGAGTAGTGGATGCGAGATTGCGACTTAGTGAGGAGCTCAGTGGTGGTCGGATAAAAGTAAGTAAGAATTTCAGGTGCATTTATTACACACGTAGTGAAAGAAATAAAGTTCAGAATTTTCTCCTCACTAGTAAAAATGCCACGTTGTAAACTTAGTATATATATCTATGTGTTGTTAAACATATTGGTAGCCTTGCAATGCACGGCGTGTCTTTAAAGGAATCTAAAAGTTACTGTGAGCAGCCTCTAAGGGCGTTTCTGGTTTCCTTTCTAGGAGATATGTGATCTTACCAGTAGGCACGAGGGATTTAACTGTTGTGTCCTTCAGCATACTAATCATGGAAAGTCCTATGACTTGGTCTCCTAGGGAGCGTGGCAGACTGAGTAGTAAGTGTGAGGCAGTGATGTGAATGGAGAGGTGAAGATGTTTGGGTCTGAGCATTTTTATTTTGTAAGGATCTTGCCAGAAAATACAAACCAACTAAATATGAACTATTTTTTTCTTAGCCCAAACCAGTTGAAGTTCAAGTGATCACACATCACATGCAGCGTTACGCAGTTTGGTTCGGCGGTTCCATGCTGGCTTCAACAGTAAGTCTTTATGAAAATTGTTCTGAATTTGTTTTTTATTGCGTATTGTCTTCTGGTTACATTTTATTTGAGTACTAAGTTTTAGACCTTTTCATTGTGACAGCCTAAACTATGTCACATTCTGGAATCCTTACCCAACTTTTATCTCAGTAATGTTTGTACAGGGCAGGTGGGAGGCTTACTTGAGTAAAGATGTCATGGTTTGAGATAATTCTGAAGTATTTTTTGTATGATAGTTGCAATATAGTCCCTTTATTCTTGAAGTCAGCACTAGAGATTATTTTAGGACTTCAGGAATATAGGATCCAAATCAATGGTCTTAAACCCAAGACAGAAGCCAATGCAGGAAAATTGGAGCAATTCCTGTCTCCAGAGTGGGATTTCTTATTGCTGTTTTTAAAAGCAGTCTTTGGTCCAGATGATCTTTTATTGATCAGTTGTATTCATATCCTAATATTTCTAGTTTCATTCTATTTATAAAAAGTGATACCACATCATAAAGCTGTAATCTACGAGAATGTTAAGGCATTAGTTTATTTGTCAGTTTTTCTACTTGATATATTCTGATGCTTTTGAGTGGATTTGTTTTATATTTTCATAGCCAGAGTTTTTCCAAGTATGTCACACCAAGAAAGACTATGAAGAGTATGGTCCTAGTATTTGTCGTCATAATCCTGTTTTTGGAGTCATGTCATAATGCTCGTCTAATGGAAACAAGATCTCTGATACCTTGCTGGTGAAGAAACTCATGTAAAGCAGAGAAAGGGAGCAGATACTGTAAATACCGAAGCAAGTTATGGGTGTTTCTTGGAAGCATTTGGATCACCACTGTGCACTAAAGCACAACTTACAGCCCCAAGTCATTTCAGTAAAAGCCATTTCTCTGCTGACTACATTAAAGCCTATCTTTCTTTCTTCCTGAATGTGAGGTAGTTGACAATAGGTAAGTCTCGCTTTAGGAGGTTGTGCAAATACTACTGAAACTGAATCTAGAAGAATGAGGCAGTGTTTTACTGCTTGTGGAAAGATTTGAACGTTTCCCACTTGTGCCCTGATTCTGCAATCAAATCTTAGCAATGGAGCGCTAAATACCACATTGCCTTCAGGGGAGTTGGAATGGATGCAGGTACCTGCCCAGAAGGATTAGATTGCAGGATTGGGACTGTACTTTGTAAATGTAGGTTTTTCATATCATTTTGTATTCTATGATACTGATAAGGGTGATTGATGACTAGTTCTAAGCACGAACAGCTATCAACGTCATAGAGTGATGTTACGCATTTCCGGGTGTGAGGCATGTATTGGAGTTGTGCTGGTATTTTTTTTGGAAAAAAAAAAAAGCCATGTATGCTAGAAACTGATTTGTTCTTGTTTGGATGACACAAACTAAGTGATTTACAGTATTGTATGAAGTTTATTATAGCCACTGTTACTTTGTTTTGAATTTTCTGAAACTGTTTTATAGAAGATGATGTTTTGTTTTGTTGTTGGTGAGTGGTGGATGACACACGGGCCTTGCACCAGTGAAATAAAAGCTGTTAACATCTTTATGAATGTTTGTGGTAGTCATGATTTACGTACTCGTCCATTTTATTTCACAAGGTTAGCTTTCCATTTGTACATCAACATACGTGGAATCAACACTGGAGTTGGAAGGGACCTCTTGTGATTTTTGGTCCAGACTCCTGCTCAGTGCAGGGCTCACTTCAAAGTCAGGTCTGTTTTCTCAGGGGCAGTCAGATTTCTAGGAATGGAGGTTCCTCAGTGTCTCTGGCAACCTCTTCCAGGGCGTAACTACCCTCTTATGGGTGCATGTTCTTGTGTTGTGGATGGTGTCTGTTCTTCTGTGCTTTAAATCTAAATAGAGTAGGAAATCCTGCTTATTCTGTCTGTGCTGATATTTGTCTGGTCTCTGTCAGCAGAGGTTTTGTAACAGTTTGTGCAGCCTGAGAAGAATTTCGCAAGATGCATCAGTCTCGTTTTAACTGGCATGGAGGGATTGAGACCAAGCAATTATTTGTTCAGCATAAATTAGCAATTAAACAAAATGGGACTTTGACTCAAGCCCGGTTCTGAATGCTTTTGAACTTAAAGCTCAGCTCTCAGGAGAAACACATTGAAGCTTACTTTGCTGATCCTCTCACTAAGAAAGAAATGGGTAATCTAATATGACTTGTACTGTTTCAGCTTGTTCAGTGTTACATCAGGTTGGCTACGTTTAAATCGGTGTTTGAAGTCTGTCACTGCGCTGCTGGCTACTTAGGTGTTTGGCCTGTACAGCAGAACCCAGAACCATGAGCACAAGTGGCTGGAGTCAGGCTTCAGAGGAAGATTTACATGTTTGGTGCATTGAGCAAGTGTGGGCTGTGAAACACTGGCATGCTCACTTGGTGCTACAAAATAGGGACTGCTGGGGATGTGGCATAGTTATGTGGGGGCTGCAATCAGTTTTAGCCAGGTGTTGAGGTATCTTAGCAGGAGATGGTATTTTTGCTTGACGCTTCTGACATGGGCACCGTTTTTTTTGAAGGGGGGGGGGAACTTCTTTCAAAAAGTAAGCAAGACTTACATTGAAAACAAGTGAGGAAATGTGCTCATGTTCACTCTTCATAAAAAACCCACTGATACTAAGAATACGAATGTAGGATGTTCAAATGTCCCAAAGCTGAGTTTCCTTGTTCTTCAACATTTTGGAAGGCTGACCTACCTATCACTACAGACCACATGAGTTTAATGCAGTCATTGGACAGGAAAAAAAAAATTGCAGAGGAGGTGTGTCAGAGGACAAAGGCAAACATGAGTCGTTAGCTCCTTTTCTCTCTTGCTGACTACTGTTGGGCTAATTTAACCTCGTTGGCAAGTAAGCTTGCCTTTTCAGTTACATTTTATGGATTCCTTGCAAACAGTTAATGAATAACCACAATCTGTGCACAGCAAGTTGGAAATTGATTCTCTGACCTACTGGTTTGGGCACTTGCCTGAGAAGGAGCATGTGCATTGGATTTGAGTAATCTTGGACAGAGGAAGAATGGAACCCAGGATTTAAAGCCAAAGGGACCAGCAGGTATCTAGTCTGCCTCCAGACACTTACACACCAGCAGTCACTAGTGCACTTCTGCAAAGCCTGTTTACTTAAGGAATGCTCTCTCTGTATGTAACGCATCAAGGCAGATTTTCTGGGGCTCGGTGGTGGTCACAGTTTATTGCTGTAATGGCTTTCTGATGCTGAAGAGGTGTTGGTACTGCTTTGTCCTTGGAGCAGGCTCTGGTTATCACAGGACACTTCTGTGAGATGATTTGACATGCTGACCTTGCAAAAAATTCTTGCTCCTGTTTTCTTGCATGCAATGATCTGTCAGATTGGCTTACCATGTTTGGTGAAACTGCAAGTTTACTGAATAGAACAATGAACTTGGACCTAAACTGGTCTTGAGCTTTGCTGCTGGTTGCTTAATGAGTCCTGTGAAGTTGGTTCCTCTGTTTTGTTCTTTTTTTTTTTTATTGGCTCGTGGAGCGCGTTGAAAAATCTATTGAAAAGCACTGTAAAGATATAGGTCAGCAGCATTGCTTCAGTGGTGGGACTGCATTAGATGGGGCGTAGGTAAGCGAAGTTAGAGCAAGAAGTTCAGTCTGATCTTCATAGTTACAATTGGGGCTTCTGATTTTGAGGGTTTGTGGTACCACGTGCCCGTTACAAAAGGAGATTACCTGTCCCCATCAACCAATTAGCAAATGATGTTTTTAGCCTTCATTAGCTTTGACTTGAGACAGTGCTCTAAAAGTGCAAGGTATTGTTTCCTGCTACTGATCCTCTGAGCGTTTTCTTCGTATCAGTGTTAAATACTACTTAAGCACTTCAGGCTTTTGTCAACCTGAAGAGCATTGTGCATGTATTCAGTGTGGTACTTTCAATTAGTGAAGTCTTGCTGTGAACTGGAGTACTGACCTTTCTGTAAATAATTCATTCTTTATGATCACTGGGTTCTCTCTCATCTGGAAAGATCACCGTTGTGCCAAACAAGTGTTGGAGATGGAACGTGTGAAAAGCTTACTTAAAACCACCAGGGATACTGAGCAGAGGTAGCAGCCTCCTGCGTAGCTGTAAAGTGTGCTGCATAATATTAAAGGTGTGCGGTGGCTGTCAGATCGTTACAGTGAACAAAAGCTCAGGTAAAACTATGGCAAAGGAATAGCCAGTTACCTCATTTTCATACGCTGGTCTTCAGCAAGACATTTCTAAGTAAAAGGCAAAGAAAAACACAAGGAATAAAAGTAGTGAAGGGGAGTGTCCGTGCTATTTTTCAACTTCTTGAGTTTCTTTTATGCAAGCTGAATGTACATGATAGAAGAAAGAGGCAGAATTGTACATATTCACAGCTTGCTTCTGTGGCCACTTTTGTTCTTAGCGTTTCATATCTGACGATTCTTCTGTAGACACGCAGGGCCTGACCCGTACTCGGTGGGAAAAACTTCCCTGTGGCATCACTGATCCTGTAACGTTCTAGATTCCGTTCCATTTCTTGCTGCCCACTACCATGTCAGTCTTGGCCATGCTGCATCATGTTGGGCAAGTCACTTCATTTCTGTGTGTTTTTTCCTGATCTTTTCCTAGGGCTGTCTCTTGGACAATGCCTTAGCGTTTGTCTGCTCTGATGCAACTGCCAAATCCTTCGGTGCAGAGGTTCGACTTGGTCACTTTGGCTTCACAGAGTAGCATAATGGTGTCCTGAGGGCAAGTCGTCTCATCCTAAGATATGCATCTGGCACAGATCGCTTGGCTCACCCTTTGGCAAGCGCTTTCTCCATTCAGCTGACTGTAGAAGTCTGTGATGCCTAGCACAGATGTTGGATCTAATTCTCAAAGGGTGAAAGTTGGGTGGGGGGGAGAATCCCACCCTGAATTTGGTCTCTGGGCACTGCACTGGCACACACTACAGCAGCGTGGCGAGGGAGCAGGCTCACTGAGGACGAGCCCTGACACAGCTCACTGTTCTATACCCACGGAAAATGGTGAAGGATGAGTGCTGTGCTGCTTTAACTTCCGAATGACTTGAGGATCTTTTTACCTTCACATTATTTAAATGAACAATCTCTGTGATCCTGCTTGTATGTTCACAGCTTGAGTCTAACTGTGCCAGCCTGTTAAGCGTTAGTTACGCTTGCTACCTGTTTTTATGAATGGTTCAAGGGTAACTCCTGTAAACTGCAGCTTATTCATGTGCAAGGTGAGGATGTGCTAGCACAGCGGGCTTGATGTGCCTCGGGAAACACTGAGTGTCTAACAGCTGCCGTGCCGTGTTCTGACAGTGCTCAGCGTAGAGCTGGCAGTGTCTTTCTGATGGGCATCAGCACTTGTCACATTGTTCAAGAAGGAAATTTCCTGCACTCTGTATGCCGTGCAGTTTCAGTGGCATTCGTGTCTTGCAGCAGTCTCCTGCCAGGCATGTGAAAGGCTCTGGAGTCAGCCTGAGAATGTCTGCTGCCTTCAGCTATTGTCAAAGCAGAGGTCAAGCTAAATCAGGATGTTTGGATTATTTTTCAACTTTCCCTCTGGTGGAATTGGGAAGAAGAGGGAACACCTTGTAATTCCTTAGGGATTTAAGTGAGACTTCCATTTGTTACCAATACATTACGATAAAAGCTAGGTGTCGTGCTGGGGAGAGGCTTGGGGTTCGTAAGTACCTTTAAATAATTCAAGAAACTCCCTGTCACCTCTCCTGCTTCTCTAGTGCTATTTTGCTTTAAGTTCTCTTGGGCTCAGCTGATGAGCGTAACTAGGTTATATTATTAGTCATTGTTTCCTACTTATGCCTGGTATGAAGTTTGGTGCTGCTTTGCTTGTGGTCCCCGGAGCCTGTTACATCTTCTGAGGTACATCAGCTGTTCTAAAATTTAAGATTTTATATTTTTCAGCAAACATGGCATCTTGTGTTATAAATGAATCATGAAGGAATCATAAAGGAATTTTTCCCTCATTTTTTATTTCTCTTCCTGTGTAATTAGGGCAAGGAAGTGACAGGGCTGCCACTAGTGGGAGGTGTTTAACCCTTTGACTGCATGGGAAACAAAATGAACTGATGTGGATTTGAGAAGTCATAAAATAGAGGGTATTTTGGAGGATGATCGCCACGATACATCTTGAGTTTCTGATGCCTGTGCAATCATGTGCATCTCCACTTTCAAAAGCGGTGCCCGATTATGTCTGCTGTGCATCAGTAAATAAAGGAGCAGTGTAGTTTAACTGGAAGGCTCCGTTCATCTGGAGCGATTTTTCAGCAGTTTGCTGGGGTATTGTTTTTCTAGCACCCTGTGGGGTAACAACGAGAGCTGCAGCCACATTTACAAGGGAAAGATTGTTCCCTGCCTTTGGCAGTTGGTAGATACTGTATATGAAAGACAGATACATTTTTAATGCAAACTGTATTGCTCATAATTCTGTTTCTACTGGTAATCTGTAGTTTGGTGCAGGAGACAGATGCTTTGGGTCAGTTCCAACAAAGATGAAGTAAAACCAAAATAGTAGATACGTTGCTGAGGTGGCGGACACCTACCTG